GGAGAAGTGCATGGCGATCACAGTGTGGAAGCTGGTGACTCCAGCCTCCTACCAGGCAGTCGCAAATAAGTTTGGAGTCGGGAAGTCAACTGTTGGGACTGTTAACGCAAGTGTGCGGGGCCATTAATCGCATCCTGCTACGAAGGACTGTGACTCTTGGCAATGTGTGTGAAATAGTGGACTGCTTTGCAAAAATGGGTTTCCCTAACTGTGGAGGGGCTATAGATGGCATGCAAATTTCAATTTTGGCACCAGACCATCTTGCAACTGAGTACATCACTAGGAAGGGGTACTGCTCCATGGTGTTGCAGGCGCTTGTGGATCACCATGGGCATTTCACTGACATCAGCGCAGTGTGGTCCGGAAAGGTGCATGACGCATGTATCTTCAGGAACACTGGCCTGAATAGAAAGTTGCAAGCGGGGCTTTCTTTCCAGACCAGAAGATTACAGTAGGGAATGTTGAAATCCCCATTGTGATCCTGGGAGACCTGGCGTATCCTCAATGCCATAGCTCATGAAGCCTTACACGGGAAACCTGGATAGCAATAAGGAGCTATTCAACAATAGGCTGAGTAGGTGCAGAATGACCGTGAAATGTGCATTTAGCAGATTAAAGGTACGCTGGAGAGGATAATATTCCCATGGTCATAGCTGCATGTTGTACATTGCACAATATTTGTGAAGAGAAGGGTGAAAAATTTGCTCAGGGCTGTGCTCCTGAGGTGCAGCTTTCTATTCACCTTATAGTCCATTCATCCAATGCATACTTTTTTAACTTGCTGGTAAGAATACTGTGGGAGACCGTATCGAAAGCTTTGCTAAATTCAACATATATCCCGTCCACTGCTTTCCCCGTATCTACAGAGCCAGTTATCTCATCATAGAAGGCAGTCAGGTTGGTCAAGCATAACTTGCCCTTGGTGAATCCATGTTGACTATTCCTGATCACCTTCCTCTCCTCCAAGTGCTTCAAAATGGTTTCCTTAAGGCCCTGCTCCATGATTTTTCCAGGGACTGAGGTGAGGCTGACAGGTCTGTAGTTCCTCAGGTTCTCCTTCCCTTTTTTAAAGATGGGCACTATATTTGCCTTTTTCCAATTGTCCGGGACCTCCCCCAATTACCATGAGTTTTCAAAGATAATGGCCAATGGCTCTGCAATCACATCAGCCAATTCCCAACTCAATGAAATTGAGTTTTGCAAGGAAGCAAATGATTAAACTGTTTATTTGTTGCTGCCATCTGCAATTTGCAGGAAACAAAGATTGCTTATCATTCAAAAAACTTAGCTTCTATTGCACAAAAAACAATACTCTACAGCCACACAAATGCTTGAGGGGAGAGGAGGTAGCAGGGGATGGCTGACTTTTAGAGCTGTGCATAAGTCCAGCTATCATTTGAAAAGGTGTCTGTTGGGTGGAGTGAATGGGAAAGCAAGAAGTCCCAGAAAGCAGAAAGGAATGCACAAGGTTGAGTTTGGGGAAGGCATAGAAAAGAGTTCTGAAGGGGAAGGTGGGCATGCATAATCTGCTCAGTCCGGAGCGTTATGAGGGACTTCAGCATTTGTTTGCTGCTCCATAATTTTAATCATCCTCTCAGTTGGGTCCCTAATAAAGGCCTCATTTTCTTTTCTATCCTGCCTTTCGATTTCCCTCCACTGCCTGCGTTCCCTCTTTGCTGCATCTGAGTATTGCAGCTCCTGGAACCATGTCCTCCTTGCTCCGCCTTGGGCGCTTTCTTATCCAGCGGAGGCGCTCCACCAGTGTGTAGGGGATGCCTCTGAAGGTTGCATTTGCAGAAGCACAAGGAACAATACACAGAAGCATGATTAAGTACATGTACAGCATTGAAACAGTACATTAAAATACACCTCTAGTAACACACCAATCACTTTCTCACTGACCCTTAACAAGCACACATGCCAGCGAACACCCCAAGCATGGTGAGTTTATCCCGGGGCAGAGGGCATTTTACATGGGGAGAAAAGCAATATGAAAGGGTCGTGGTGCAGTCAACTGGGGACAATATTTTAAATTTCACACACTTTTCCACAGGTGGGGGTCATTGTACCAGATATCTCACTCCTGAGAGTAAGCAGAGGAGCAAGGGTGCATCTACTATATACTTGCAGGTTCCGCTCTAGTCCCTATGTTGCTCGCCTGTGTGCTGCTTTGGTCCTTGCACAGGTGATTGCAGAATGGTACGGGAAAGTTTTCTTCAAAGGAACAAAACAGATCTGCCAAGGAAGCTTCGGCAGAGGATTGCCAAGTACCTCCAGAAAAGTTTCCTAGAGATCTCTCTGGAGGATTCCTGTGAAATCTTGGTGTGCATCAAGCCCCTGTTCCGCCATACTGCTTAGCTGTACAGGGATATGTCCAGCACACAGAAACACAGCCCACCTTGTACATTTCTATGCCCTCAACCCATCTCTGCACTTCACAAGGCAAAACCACTTACCAGGGACCTCCTCTCCTGCTTGTTGGAGTGTGACTGCTAAGACTGGCTAGACACCTCTGGAGTGTAGAACAGCTCCTGACTAGAGACACCACACTGCGACCCTGCTAGGGGCTCCACACGGTTGTCTAATTCTACTTCTTGATTGATAACTTCGTCCTCTGGGTTAGGTCCATTTTCTGCCAGCTCCAGCCCTGCTGAAGTATCCATGGGGCTCTTGGCAGTGGAAGTGGGGGTCACCACTGAGAGTAGTGTCCAACTCCATATAAAAATGGCAGGTCTGTGGTGCAGCACCAGAGCAACGGTTTGCCTCCCTTGTCTTCTGGTACGCATGCTGCAGTGCCTTGAGTTTTACTCTGCACTGCAACGTGTCCCAGTCATAGCCCTTTTTGCACAGTTTTTGAGAAATCTGCCTGTAGGTATTGAAATTCTTATGGCAGAAGCGCAGCTGGGACTGCATAGCCTCCTCTCTCCAAATACTGAGCAGATCCACATTGTTCCAAGCGGGAGAGCGTTTGTCACATGGAGCCGCCATTGTCACCTGGAAAGATGCGATGTGAACTCTCAAGGCCGAGCAAACAGGAAGTGGAATTTCAAAAATTGCCAGGACTTTAAAGGGGAAGGAGCGGACTGTTGCTTACCTGACTGCAGGGCAGTGGAGTTGGAACAGCTGACCTGAGCAGTCAGGATGGGCATTGTGAAACACCTTCTGGAAGCCAATTAAAGCAATGCAATCAAGTGCGGTGTCTGCATTGGCACTTTGCTGACAAAACTTTTGCGCAAAAAGCCCTATGTCTCTTGTCAAGGTGGTTTTATTTTGTCGCCGAAACGGCAGTGGTTTTTTTTTTTTACCAAAAGTGGAATTGCAGCGTGTACATCTCCACTCTTTCGTTGCCAAAAGCTGCCTTTTGGTGACAAAACTCTGCAGTGTAGGTAAGGCCTTAGTTCACATTCATGGGTCCTGAGGTGCTTAGCACCTCTTCAATGAAACTGATCAGCCTTGGGTTCCATCTTTGCTAGAAACTTTTAATTGCTTACTACTATTTCTCTGCACTGACTTCAAAACAAAACCCACCCCTGCATCATAACAGACAACTGAGATTATCCACTCGCAGAAGATGATGCTTCCTAGGCATGCCATGGGACAGTTGTGAGCAATTCCAGGCCTGTCAAGCTGACATCTTTCACAGGCAGTTTAAGGATTTGTTTCTAGTGGTTTGTTTGGTTTTTAATTTGTTTCTGAATTAAATTTCGTTCTTGCCTTTTAAAAATTAAACTTGGCTCTGCTGAAACAGTTTTGATAAAAGCATAAATCAGCAAATAAAGTGAAGTATCTCCTGAGCCTGTGGTGTCAGATCTGTGCACACTTAACAAGAGGGAAATTGAGACTATTCAGTCATATTAGGTGAATGGAGACTTATCCCTCACACTGCAGTTGTTAAAACATTCACAATCTGAGGCACTTCTATCTTGAAAACAACTTGGCCCCAGAAATCTTCACAATGAACTTGATTTGTTTGATACAAATTAAATCTGTCTAATAGCTGTTTCATGCAGGTATTCCCAAACTATTTGGACAGATTTCAAAAAAGTTACAAATTTACAGGGTCAAAAACAGATACTTGAGTTATTACTTTAATATATTAACTTACTTACTTTATGCATTTTTATTAGGGCTGCCAATTGCAGTAATTCACTCGATTAACTCAACTCCAAAAAATTAATCACGCTTAAAAAGTTAATCACGATTAATCGCACTTATAACAATAGAATACTAATTGAAATTTATTAAATATTTTTGAATGTTTTCTACGTTTTCAATATTGATTTCAATTACAACACAGAATACAAAGTGCACAGTGCTCACTTTATTATTTTTTATTACAAATATATGCACTGTAAAAATGATAAAAGAAATTGTATTTTTAAATTCACCTCATACAAGTACTGAAGTGCAATCTCTTTATCGTGAAAGTAACTTACAAATGCAGTTTTTTTTTTGGTTACATAACTTCACTCAAAAACAAAACAGTGTAAAACTTTAGAGCCTACAAGTCCACTCACAATTTACCCAGGAATTTAAGAATATCACCAAATCCTTCCCCAAACAACTTCAGGAGAATCTCTATACCTTCATCCCCCACAAACCCACCCCAGGGCCCTTCTACATGCTTCCCAAGATACGCAAACAAGGGAACCCAGGCAGACCCATCGTATCTGTTCATGGCACTTTTACTGAAGGAATATTGGAATTCATAGAAACCATACTCAAACTACTCATCACACAAAGGGACACTACTGGCTTCCTCCAGAAACTCTGCAACATTAACAACCTCCTTCTGAACATTACACTTGCCCCGATAGAGGTCATCTCCCTGTACACCAACATCCCTCACACTATCACTACAAAAGTTTTTTTTCTCTTGCTGATAATTGCTCATCTTAATTAATTAGCCTCTTAGAGTTGATATGGCTACTTCCACCTTTTCATGTTCTGTATGTATATATATCTCCTTACTATATGTTCCATTCTATGCATCTGAAGAAGTGGGCTGTAGCCCACGAAAGCTTTTGCTCAAATAAATGTTAGGCTCTGAGGTGCCACAAGTACTCCTGTTTTATTTTAGTTTCCTCTCCCTTTATTACAGTGCTTAATAGTTCTACTTTTGTAGTTTATTATATATAGATCCTGTTTGTTTTACATAATGAGAATGTCCTGGTTTGCATTTCTGAAGAGGAAGTTGTGGTGGTTTGTACAACACATTGTGACTCACACAGATGATCTCAGTAGCTAAGACAAAACTATTATGTCAGATTGGCATTTTATTCAATGGATGTTTGATTTCCTACAGTCATCGGTGAGACTTTCAGATGGAATATTCAACACACTGCAGAGCCAGCTAGTGAGGCCTATGCTTAGGTAGATTTATTTTGCTTAGGCCAGGGATTCTCAACCTTAGTGTGGACCACATCTTAATAGCCAACTCTCCTCCCAGCTATAATTGCCTAAGATCCCTAAGGCACCTAAAATTAAATGTTTTCAAGAAAGTGATATTAGGAAAGTATTTAGTGTATTTTAACTAATGCAATATGGCATCTGAAAATCAGGAGAGCTTTCAGCAATTGAAAAGTCTCTCAGACGTGGTTAAGGCATAATTATCATTGCAGAGATTCAAGAATGCTGACTATAAATTTGTATAGAGCAGTTGTGGTTTGGATAGCCAAAGTTGTGGTTTCAGGCCCCTCTACTCCGATTCTTGAATGGAATTTTATTTCCTCTAGTTTACACTTTTGCTAATTAGGTATGTCACTTCAGTGAAACTGTTTAAAAAAAAAACTTGTTTAATGTAAACATATCAGTCCACCATAACGTGTAACATGCATGTTTTTATATTTGTATTTTACTTATAATAAAATCAGTTATGATCACACTGAGTGGAGCAGTATGTTAATTTAAACTGTTAGGGGGTCTACTTACTGTACAATCCCTTTGTAGCAGACAGTTTCCACAGACCTTGGGTTCCTTGTGAAGCACGTCCTAATTTTTCTTTCATTAGAAACTCCGAGAAAACAGCAGCCAGAGCTTAAGGCAGCATCCTTTCCCTTTAATGAGAACAGACTGTAGGATTGGGGGATATATGTTTTATGACCCAGTGGAGATGACGGTACATGCAGCATTACTAGTGAAAAGTGCAGGATGTGGTCTGAAGGCATAAAGTAGGTCTTTAATGCAGTCAGTACTTTAGAGTAGTGTCAACCTGGCTTCCAGCAGCCTAGTTACTTCTTGCAAGGTGACCCCAACAGCCTTTTCAGTCCCAAGTCTCCCAAAATCTGTCTAGGCCAAGTCCTTAATTACCAGATACTTGGACTACTCCCCTCTACTCCATCACCCCCAAAGAGTGAAACCAGCTCCCCATGTAATCAATTCACTTTTGGACTTATACTCTACACAGTGTGCACAACAGACCTGCTGGGGGTAAAAACTGTTGATGTACACACTGCTGATGCGCATTAGCAGTTCACTAATGAGCTTTAGTTCAGTCCCCTTTCAAAGACGGATTGTTAATGTGCATCAGCAGTATGCACATGGACAGTTAGGATGCAGCAGACTATTGCAGGGTAGATTCATTCCCCAGCATGCCATGAACTAATGTGCAGATAAGCCTTGACATAAAGGCTTCAACTAGAGAACTATATGCAGGCAGACTCCTGTGCCTCCTTGTTGTCCTGCTGAAGTCAATGGAGTAGACACAGTGGTCCCCTAAAAAAACCCAGTTGCAGGAGTGGAGCCCAAGTCATTTCACTGCTCATGGAAAAAGTCTAGACAACATTTTTTAATTTTCCTTTCAATTATATTCATGGTTTCTTTATACAAATTTTCAAAACTCACTTTTATAAACAATTTAATCTTTTAGTCTTTTTTTAACTCCCTTCCAAATAACTGGTTTATTGGCTGTTTGTGCAGCAAGCTTTTCACTGTCATCTTCTGTACTGTCATCTTCTGTACTGTCATCATCACTGTCACTGCCATCCTCTTCACCAGATTCTTCATCACATTGTGCCATTCTGAAAATAAATTTTTTTTCAGAGGTATAAAAAGCAAAAGAACTTTCTGAAAGGAGAATGAGAACTGAAAGTAATTACCCTATGGAGCTGGCTGGTCTATTAGGATTTGAAAATTCTTTTCCAGAGTCAACATCAAATGGATCTGAAAAAAAAATTACATCTGGTAAGAGTTAAGTTTAAGATTCTTCATTCAGAGAGGAAAATGAAAGGGATTCTGCTGACTTAGCCAAGATTTGGCTCTATAGGAGGAAATCCAGTGACGCACCACTGCTCATCTTGACACTTTGAAAACCAGGCCCCTTCCCTTTAAGGCATCTCCCGTTGAGTGCCCAAAAAATTGAAGCACTTAAAATCACTAGTCACTTCTGAAAATTTTGGCCCTAAGCTCCACCTCATTGATGGGTGTATCCATAACCTAAGTGAAAGCAGATATTTTAAGAAAAGCTCACAACAAATTGCCTTCAGTCAAGCTGTGGAATGTGTCAGTTTTGGCTTGAGAAAAATTGAAATCTCAATTAAAGTAAAACTGACTCATTTACAGTGCAATAAATTATTGGGAGTGGACTACATCCACCCTGATTGAATTGGCCTTGTCAACAGTGGTTCTCCACTTGTGAAGTAACTCCCTTCTCTCCATGTGTCAGTATATAATGCCTGCATCTGTAACTTTCACTCTATGCATCTGAAGAAGTGAGGTTTTCACCCACGAAAGCTTATGCCCAAATAAATCTGTTAGTCTTTAAGGTGCCACCAGACTCCTTGTTGTTAGTGCAATAAAGTATACATTTCCCAGGGAGCTTTAAGGTTGTTTGTAGTAAGTAGAGATGTCAGTTGCTTTATAGGTGAGTATACACACACAGCCTCTAAAAATCATAAATAGCTCTTGATAAAAGTATTGGAGAGGGGCTCCTGACAGAAGGGAAGAAGATTGAGTGAATGAGTCTGAACTTGGCCTCACCTCACACTGGGCCAGAAATCCACCTAAGTCTCATCATCAGAAATGAGCTAATTCCAGGTGACAACTCCATCTGGAAATCAGTGAGTTTCCAAAAGGTTAAGAGTCTGAGTAGACCAGGGCCCAGTATAAGAGTGGGAGAATTGCAGAATTCCATCTCAGAAGTGGTAAAGGCACAAAGCCTGACCCAAGGCTGTACTCAGAAGGACCAGCAAGGAGGCAAGTGCAGCTAGCCCTGTAACCATGACAGAGGCCATCTAGTCCTCCTGCCTTTCTGAAGGACCAGAATAGGCATGTTCCTTAAGATCTATTCTGGTAAGTTTAAGGATTCTTTTTCTAAATGTTTCAAGTAACTGGGTTTCCACTTCCCTAAGGAGACTATTCTATTCCATAAACTAATATACTCCAGTGACAAGGAGATGTTTGTTATTCAGCTTAAGTTTTCACTCAGTTTCATCCCCTTATCCAAGACACCAGGGGCTGCCTGCCCTCCCGCTCAGAATGTGGATGAGATGCACCTCCCACTTTGTGGGGAGAAGTTACTGGCAAAGCCAGGACACCATGGTTGCAGGCTTGGGTCATGTGAACTGCCAGCACACAGTTAGCCTAGGGAGGGGCATGAGACTTAGCCACTGTCCCTTCCCCTCCCTGCTCTGGGTGGATAAGAACTATGGCCTTCACACACACTTGGGCAGTTTGTGTTGGGATATTTTTTGTGTGCCTCCTGCATTGAAGTGAAGTGCTTTCCCAAGAGTGGGGGTGAGGGGGAGAAGACAGAACATGCAGGCTGAAAAACCACTGAAGGAGCCAGAACATGGAAAACTGGCACCAGTTGTGCGACATGGAAACTGGGACGGAATTGTACTATACTTTTAGTACGTTACTTTTGTCTGACTACATCTGTCTGGATTTTTAGATAGCTTTTCAGGCAGGGACTTTCAATCTTCTATTCTGTCTGTACAGTGCCCACAAAATTGGGGCCCCAGGCTTGGCTGGGACCTTTATGCACTGCCACCATACAACTAAAATTTTGCAATATGAATCTAGTTTTAATTTGTGCCAATATTTCTCCTCTTTAGGTCTTCTCATATTTATCAGTCCTCATTAGTGTTCAAACTTTCCAATTCAGCACTTGTAAATGTAACAAGTGAGCTGTTTACTTTCTTTCTTCCTTAATTCCCTGAAAACATCCTTTATAAAACTAAACCAATTAGGACAGCCACTCTGTTGGGTAAATTCATGTCCATATAATGCCTACTGAGATTTTTTTTCGTCTTTAGCAACAGAGCATTCAGAATTGTCAGGAAACCACATGGAAAGGTCACTCAAAGGGAGGCTTTTACCTATATCTTCAGTTTCTCTTTCTTTTGCACTTGCTAAAAATTCCTTTTCAACTTTCAGCACCTCTTCCTGGCAATGGCAGGCCGCATATTTCTCCAAGAGATTTTTGTTCAATTCAAGAAACACTTTTCCCCATTTGAACTTTCTCAGAAGAATGGTGGCTAGATCAGAGAACCCTAAAATAGAAAACAAATATGACCAGCTTCTCTTCAAACATGGGACTCGTAACAAAAAAAACAACAACTTACAGCTGCCTTGATATCTAATCAGCATAAGTTCAATGCATAGCATCTGTCACTAAAACAGTGATACATGAGACATTTGTCAGCATCCTTGAATGTTTTGGAATCTAGGTCTGGAGACAGGAGACTTAACTTGAGGCACCCAAGTGAATCCAGGAGAAATCCACTGTGTTCTAGTTAATCAGTCTCCTGAATGTGGAAATATAAAATCTGATGTTGTACAGTACAGTGTAAACAAAAGGTAGATCTCTATGCAGCAGCCAATAATCAGCCAAAGTCTACTGTTAACCCACTTCCAAGCCCTCAGAGTGGAAAGTGCAGGTCTATGATGGTTTCAAACTTCCTTCTCTAACAGGATTCAGGGAGTGGCGATGGACAACGGTTCCCTGACCACTTTGAGAGGTTGAGACATACCACAGGCTCTGCTGACAATACATGATGATCACCAGCTCTATCTCCTCCCCTCAGAGACTGATAGCAAGGGAGGGCCACACATGCCTACACTCAGTGCCAATTTGAGGCCCTAGTTTTAATCTTCAAGGTCCACAATGGGTTGGGGCCCAGCTGCAGCCAAGACCCCTATTCCAACACAACAAGAGCTGGTTTAAATTTTTCAGAACCAACCAATGAAGGTTTTCAATACAGTGGAACCCCATTTATCCAATCTAATTGGGAGCAGCACCAAATCGGATAATCAAAAATTAGAATAATCTGGAGAATGGGCAAAGAGCTTTAGCTCTGGATTCAACTGGAGCCTGAGCCCTGCCACTTGGGCCTTTAGCCCTGGTTTGGTTAATACGGAGAGCCAGATAATGGAGGCTCGGATAAATGGGGTTCTATTGTAACTTCATTAGGAAACACTGAAGCTTTTCTCAAACCAGCTCTGTTTATGATCCCTTGAAACAACTCTACTTCCTCTAGCTAAGAGCGAAGCCTTCAAGAGTTAAAGATAAGGTATTCTCACTGATGGTCTGCAGAATGCCCTACTGGAGAAGATAAGACTGAGCCTGAGTAACTGTATTCAGAGCACAATGGAAGTGAAGTAACCAAAGACAAAGCATTACAGGTGTGGATACTAATAACGGTAAACAAAGCTGTCAAACCTAGAAGTGAAGAGCAGAATCCATAATGGACTACTCCAGGACTTGCTGTATTTATTTAGTGCTTAATACTGCAGGGTGGGATGCTCAAGAAATCTTTTCGGCCTGGTCTACACTGGGAGGGGGGGAAATTGATCTAAGATACGCAACTTCAGCTACGAGAATAGCGTAGCTGAAGTCGACGTATCTTAGATTGACTTAGAATCACTTACTTCGCATCCTCGCGGCACGGGATCGACGGCCGCCGCTACCCCGTCGACTTTGCTTCCGCCTCTCGCCGAGCTGGAGTTCAGCAGTCGACGGGAGAGTGATCGGGGATCGATTTATCGCATCTACACTACACACGATAAATCGATCCCCAATAGATCGATCGCTACCCGCCGATCCAGCGGGTAGTGTAGACATACCCTTAGATATGACAGATACAGACCTTGAGCAAAACATACTCTACATCTGTCCACTGAACAAGATGTTGAACAAAAATCACTTAAAAGAAAACTACAATAATTTTTTTCACATCAGCTCCACATTATAGCCTTACCAACAATACAGAAAGTAGCAGCTAAAGCTTCCACGCAGGACAGCTTGCATGGCCGGCCGTAGTTTACAGGATTTGCTGCCACCAAGTAAGGCAACAGTCGGAGATAGCTTCCCCTCATTTTACTAAATGGCGTTTCTTCCAACTTGGCCCACGAGCAATCTATGACTGCAACTCCATTCTGAGCTACAACCTGTCTGAAAAACAAACTTTATTGTAGTTGCGCATCTAATATCTCATTTTAAATGTTTAGTTCTTTGGATTAAGGCTGGTACTGTGTACAGGAACTAGCTCCCCAAAAGTGCAAACAAGCAATTTTCTATACATGCGTTAACTGATTTGCCAAAACACTCCAAGTATATGGCAAAGCTAGGAACAGAGTTCAACTCTTCTTAGTGCTTGTGCCTTCACCACAAAACCATCTTTTCATTCTGAAATAATGGACCTTTTTCAAGTTCCACAAGCTACCATCACTTCTAGTGTCAAGTCTCCCCAGAATAAGTGCTCTAGTTGGCAGGAATTTGATTTTCTTTCTTGATTCATGGAACACACCTTCACAGATAAAGAGAAACTGATCAAAGAACTAAAAATTAATGGTAACTTAGGTACAAGTGATCATGACAATCACAATGTGCAAGCAGAGTGAAGTCCAGACCAATGAGATATATATATAGCTTGTGCTTTAAAAGGGCCAATTTCACAAAGCTGAAAACAATTGAGCCAAATCAGTTGGGAAGAAGAATTTAATCAGAAAAATTTGAATGATAATTGAGAATTGTTTAAGAACACCTTACCAGATGCCCCAAAAGCCACAATCAAAGAAAAAAGTTGTGATTTTTTTAATCAGTAACCTGGTTTTGAGTGAAAATGAAGGGAGCTATAAAAAAACAAATGGAAGAAAGGGAAAGTTGACAGTGAATATAAATAGGAAGGTAGGAATTGTAGAAAATTGACCAGTGAAGCAAAGGGACACAAGGAGAAATCTATGGTCAGCTGAGTTCAGGACAATACGTTTAAGTATTAGGAACAAAAAAAGTCTTACCAATGTCTAGTCCATTACTAGATAAAAATGGCAGAATTATTAATACTAATGCATAAACGAAGAAGTATTCAGTAAATATTCCGTATTTTGGAAAAACAGATGTAGTCATAATATATGACAAGTCTCGTTCCATTCCACTAGTATCTCAGGAAGATATGAAACAGCAGCTATTAAAGTTAGATATTTTAAAATCAGCACTCAGCTAATAAGGAGCTCTCTGGACCACTAATATTGATTTTCAATCCATCTTAGAACACTGGGGAAGTTTCAGAAGACTGGAAGAGTTAATATGGTGCCAATATTTAAAAAGGGTAAATAGGATTTCAATTGGACTTAGATCCCAAGCAATATAATGGAGCAGCTGATATGGGACTCGATTACATTAAAATTTCAGAGGTTAATAGAATTAATGCTAATCAACATGGGTTTATGAAAAATAGATCCTGTAATCTCATCAAAAGGATATGAAAATTAGTTTGACAAGTTTGGTTGATAAAGACAATATGGTGTTGTACTATACAATGCTTTACAGAATGCTAAGAACTTGGTACTGCATGACATTGATTAAAAGTCTAAAAAGGTACAAAATTAACATGGTACAGATTAAATGGATTAAAACTGGGTAACTAATAGGTCTCAAGGTAATTGTAAATGAGGAATAGTCATCGAGTGGGTGGGTTTCTATGGGGGTCCATTGGGGATCAATTTTTTGCGCTACACTATGTAACATTTTTATTAATGACCTGAAAGAAAACACAAAATCATTAATGATGAAGTTTACAGATGATACAAAATTTGGGGGAATTGTAAATAACGAAGAGGGCAGGTCACTGATAAAGAGCAATCTGGATTGCATGGTAAGATAGGTGCATGCAAAGTGTGTTTTTATGAGTAAATGTAAACATCTAGAAACAGACAATGTACCATATATACTTGTTCATTAGCCTGTTCATTTATAAGCTGACCCTCCAAGATGGTTAAGTAAAAATAGCAAAAACGGTATGACCCTTTCATAAGCCGACCCTATATTTCAGGCAAACTTTGGCTCCTGGCCAGTTAGGGTAAGTCGCTAGCGGGCCTGGACGTTTTGTTTACCTGGAGCGTTCACAGGCACGGAGCCCCTCAGCTCCCAGTGTCCGCGGTTTGCTGTTCGCGACGCACCATTTCCCGCAGCTCCCATTGGCTGGGAACGGCGAACCACGGCCACAGGGAGCCGAGGGGCTCCATGCCTGCAGACGCTCCAGGTAAACAAAACGATAATGTATTACATATTTAATTCAATGATTCCATAGAGTTTAAAATCATCAGATTTTGGTGTAGACCCGTTTATAAGCCGACCCCCGCTCTTTGGTGCGTCACTTTCCCACCAAAAATATTCGGCTTATGAATGAGTATATACGGTAAATCATACTTACAGGATGGGGTACTCTATCCACCACCAACCCTAAATCTTTTTCAGAGTCACTGCTTCCCAGGATAATCAGCTGAACATGAGCACACACTGCAATGCTGTGGCAAAAAGACTAATGCAATCCTTAGATACATAAACAGGGGAATCTCAAGTAGGAGTAGAGATGTTTATTCACCTCTTTTATTTGGCACTGATGCAACTGTTGCTGAAATTCTGTATGTAGTTCTCATGTCCATAATTCAAGAAGGATATTGATAAATTAGAGAAGGGTGAGACAGGAGCCACAAGAATGATTAATAGACTCAAGGAGCTTGATATATTTAGTTTAACAAAGAGAAGGTTAAGGGGTGACGATCACCTACAACTATAAGTACCTACACAGGGAACAAATATTTAATAATGGACTCTTCAGTCTAGCTGAGAAAGGTATAACAATCCAGCAGATGAAAGCTGAAGCTAATCAAAGTCAGACTGGAAATAAGGCGTAAATTTTTAACAGTGAGGGTAATTAACCATTGGAACAGTTTACCAAGGATTGTGGTGGATTCTCCCTCACTGACAGTTTTTAAATCAAGATTTGATGTTCTAAAAGCTCTATTCTAGGAATTATTTTGGGGAAGTTCTATGGCCTGTGTTATACAGGAGGTTAGACTGGATGATCAAAATGGTCCCTTCTGGTCTTGAAATGTATGCGGGGGCCTGGACTAGATGAGCTCTCGAGGTCCCTTCCAGTCCTATGATTCTATGACTTTCTGAAATTTGAAGCCTGGATTTCAGAATTAGCAGCTAAAAAAAAAAAGGCTACCATGAACTGGGCACTTTAGATATGGAAACACTAGTTGTGGGACCTCAGAATGTTAGCCACACTTTACTGTATCAAATATTTTGGATTTTTTTTTTTTTTTTTTTTAATATATCAAAAGCTTCATGTCTCACCCACTATCAGCATCTCTGCATAATCCTTGGGCCTGTTAAAGAAAAAGGAACCTACTTTCCATGCATAATTTAACTATATTAACAGAACAGGGAAGACAAGATACCCCCATGTGTGAACACTATTTTAGTTGACAATCAAATAATGAAATGTTTTCCTTAACTCAGCTAACAGTACATTTGTTAACATCGGCACAGAATATACACCAGCACCGGACTCAGTCTCTCTCTCTAGAAACTCATAATACAGCAAAAAGTAAATAAACAGGTGATAGTGGATTTGTACCTAAGAAATAACACTCTAGGACTCTGATTCGCACGGAACCTACTTGTCAGCTGCAGAGACATACTGAGTTGCCATAGGACTGAGGATGAGCCCTGGGAATCTCTGATTGAGACGCAGGTTTCGGAGCAGGCCTTTGCGAGCCAATTTCCTCCCCGTGCATTTCTTGGGATCACAGTGTCCCAGCTCCCACATGGCAAGAGGGCATGGGAATCTCACCTCTGCAGAATCCCCCTCTCCAGCGCCATCCTGCTGAATGCAGGCTGCAAACACGCAGAGCAGAGCAGAGTTCAGCCTTCTCCTCGGAGGCCCAAAGGCTATAGAGGGAGCGGGGCTTGGCAATGGCTTCCCTGTGGGTGGGGCTCAGCAGCAGCTAGAGTTGCCAACCCTCCCTGTTTTTCCAGGAGTCTCCTGGAATCGGGCTCTATCTCCCAGAGGCTACTAAAGCCAAACCAGGAGATTTTAGGCTGCTAAAAGTCCAGCAGAGCAAAGGCAAGCTCCCTGCCTGTCCTGGCCCTGTGCCACTCATGGAAGCAGTCAGCAGGTCCTTGCCAACCCTGGGGGGTCCACGGGGTCTCCACACACTGCCCTGCTCCTAGCGCCGATTCTGCGGCTCCACTAGCTGAGAACTGTGACCAATGGGAGCTGCAGGGATGGTGCCTGCAGGCAGGGGCCGCAGGGAGTTGCTGGTTGCTTCCGCGAATGGTGCGGAGCAAGGGCAGGTAGGGAGCCTGCCTTAACCCCACTACACCCTGAACCAGGAGCCGCCCAAGGTACCAGAGCCCACACCCCTCATCCCCTCCTGCATCCCAACCCCCTGCCCCAGCCCTGAGCCACCTCCAGCACCTAAACTCCCTCCCAGAGCCTGTCCCCCGCATCCTCTCCTGCCCCCCAACCCCCTGCCCCAGGCTCAGCCTGGAGCCCCCTCCC